GGAAATCCAAGCACCTTTGGATGTGCGTTAGACCTGAGCAGTATGTCACCTGGAGCATTGCCAAGGGCTATAAAAAAGGTGGGGAACTGGGCCAAAATTGGGCTGGGCCTCAATGTGGGACACAGCTCCCTCTGGTGAGGATGCAGCTGCGACAGGCACCAGGCGCTCGGCATCAGCAGCCATCCCGTGTCCTTGGGCAAAAACTTGCAGGGAGGGATCCCCTTAGCTGGAAGCTGCAGGCAGTGTCAGGGCATCAGGAGTCTTAGGGGGCTCCTGGAATTAGGTAAATTGCATCATTTTGGGGCAAAAAAAACCCAAAAAAACCCAGAGCTGAAAATCTGCTGGGTCTCTCACAGAGACTGGGTGCTCGTGCTCACCTATAGAACACAGCAAAGCACTGCTCACTAGCGAGGGACCTGCACGGTGGCTAGAGGCTGGGAAGGGACACTGGCCTTGTCCCCAGCCCTCCCCTGGCGGCAGGGCACGGGTGGGTGCGCGCCCTTGCTGCGCGCAGAGCCCCGGCCGTGCTGCCCGGCGCACAGCGCTCCCGCAGGGCTGTGCCGAGGGGAGACACCGCCTGCCCAGAGCCCACCGAACCAGCCCAGCCTTCCCGACGTCCGCCCTGTCCCGCCGCCCCTCCTAGCGGGGACACCCCACCCTGCCCCGATGCTCCGCAGCTCTCCAAGCCTTGCAGGGCCACTCGGGCACCCGCAAAGCGAGCCGAGCCCAGCTGCAGAACCTCGGCGGCGCGGGATGACGGCCACAGAAGGGTGTCCGTCACTCCCTGTCCCCGGGCGCTGGCCGATAGATGGCGGTGGCGTATCTCGCTTGGGGACAGGCCCCGGGAGCAAGTGTCCCTGTCCTTGCTGGCAGTCCGGGGGGACCTGAGCATCCCGGGCAGCACCCCGGGACCGCCCGTCCGCAGCAGCCTGGGGCGCGGACAAGGGTCGTCCCCAGGGAAGTGTCTGTGGGTTTTATTTATTGTCTAGGCGGGAGATAGTGGCATGAAGTCACCGGGAAGGGCTCTGGCAGGACACAGGAGCAGCTTTGACCTCCAGCAGCACTCTGTTCTGAAGGGGACAAAGATTCAGTCCCACTCTGTGGACATGTCACCTGGATCCTGGGTTGAATCAGAGTGAATCCTTCGTGGATCACCTGGATCCCTAGTGGCAGCACTGTGCCTGATCTCACCACTGCAGGAGGAAGAAACAGCTGAAACATGCAAGTCCCGTCACCCTGCTCAGCCAGGTGTAGTCATCTCGTGATGCAGTGACTCATCCACGTAAGGGAGACAGGCCCCTGCCCCTCGTGCTGCAGTGGGAGAAAGCCTTGCTGGAGGTTCCATGGCACAACTACCAATACTCCAATTACCTGATCCATGGCTGTTAAAAGTTTTCTTGGCACTGGAGAGTTCTTATGTGACAACCCCATATTGCCATTGCCACGAGGAGCTTCCAGCCTCTCCAACACCCAACGGCTCCACAGAGCCCCAGTGGCCAAGCAGCCTCAGCAGCTCCCAGCTCAAGGGCTGGGGTGGCTGCAGAGGGAAGCTCTGCAGAGCAGGAGCTGACACTCAAATAGAGGAGCAAGAGCTGGGCACCACACTAGCAAACAGCTGTGTCCCCAGGCTCCCAACCCAGGCAGCAGGAGGTGGCTCTGACCAGGCTGGAGTAGATGGGACCAGGACTCAGTGATGCCTGCCCAGATCCACAAGCAGCCTGACCAGCCTCACGGGGAGCAGGCATCTCACTCTGCACCCAAGTGAGCTCCTTGCTGATGGCCGCAGGTGGGTGATGGAGACAGAAGGATGAAGGATAAGAGGAGGAGAGATGACCTCAGCAGTAGGGAGGGAGAGAGGAAAGGAAAAAAGATGTCAGGAAGGAGAGGAAACCAGAGCATATCTGTGGTGCTGCCGAAGGAACAGTACTGCTTCTGTGTGATCCTGAGCATGGAAAGCCCACAGAAAACCAGCAAAAACTGGGCTTTGGATGGAGCCTCCCTAGGAGCCACTGGATGAGACAAGTTATGCTCATGGGCTCCTCCTTGAAAAGGAAACTTGAATAAAAAACACAGCTGGAGCCTGCACACAGACAGCCTGGGGGTTAAAACCTAGCTGCCCCAAAAGTCCCTCCTTTCCTTTAAATCAGTGCACTTAGAGAATCTCATTCCTGTTTGAAATCAATCAGCGCCTTCACAGCTTGATTCCCAAATAGCAGTAAGTCCCTCAATCAACCAGGAAGAAACACAGGGCTCTCTGCCCCTTGTCCATGGCCATCCTCATCCCTCCCACCCTGATGTCCCTCTGGCTCTGGCACCACCACAGCGGGACCATGCCGAAGGAATTCCCATCAGAAACCTCCCTGTGCCTCTCACCCTGCTGGAGGCACCCCGCTTCAACCTGGCGTGCAGGGGACAGGGTGCATCATGGGCGGGTGCTGCCTCCAGCACAGCCACGCAGCAACTTCCCTCCATTGTGTCTCCCCTCCCTGGGCAGCCGGTCCAATCTGCAATCTCCCACCATCTCCCTCCCACTGGCCTCTGCCGGCTGTTCCTCCTCTTTGGAGCATTCCACTTCCGCCACCCTGCTCTGGGCCCTCCAGTACGGCCGTCTCTTTGCGCTGTTTTGTCCTCCCCATCAGCTCAGGAGCTTAGGGCGAGGCTCTGCGGAGGGGTTCCTCCCACTAACCCCTTGCCCTTCCTCCAGTCTGAGCTGGTGAGACAGCTGGGATCTGTCCCAGGAATGGGGCTTGTTATGGTGGACATCTAGAAACTTCCAGTGCCATGCGACATCAGCCCGCAGTCAGGCCTCTTGGAATCCCCCGACTGGGCGCTGTCCCAGCTCTGTGGAGGGAGAGAGGGGTCAGGGCTGTGACCAGGCACAAGTGGAGAGTGCTTTGCTGTGGCTGGTACTGTTGGTGCTGGATCATGCTGGTACTGCCCGGCATCACCTCTTGCAACACAGCTGTGAGTCCCCGAGTGTCCTTTTGCTTTACATAACTGTCCGTGCTCTAGAGACTGACTACAGACCTGGGCAGCATGACTCACACTGGGGCTCTGGTTTGAGCCAGAGGCTCAGATTTCTCATCAACTGCCATGTACTTTGATGGATTTCTCATCAACTGCCATGTACTTTGAGGGGATGTGTTAAGCTGGGAACTCCTCTCACATACCCTGATTTTGGAGGAGCTTCTATTGTGGTTATGGTTCCTCTGGCTTGCATGCTGAAGTATGAACTCACACGAGTCCCCTATTTTTGCAGACAACAGAACATGGAGGAAAATGCAACTCCTTCCTATGGCAGAGACAAATCTCTCCAGCCTGACTGCTGCTGTGAAGAAAGCGCATTACCTTTGTTCTTGGCTATCCTGTTTCTACCCACGAGACCACAGGGCCTTAACCACTCATCTCTGAAAGCCAAGAGCAGGGCCTGGGCTTCCTCTCCTGCGACACCTTACTGCCATCCAGCAAACAATCAGCTGGGCGTGCCGCATCCTCTCCCAGCGCCGGCCCCGTGAAGCCTGCTGGCCTCGGGGCGGCTCGCGGGACAGCGGGGTGCCGTGCCGAGCCAGGCTGGGAGCCGGGGCCTGCGGGTTGCCCACTCTGTCCCCGCAGTGGAATTTCTCCGGTTCCTTTCAAACAGCACACCCCGAAGGTGCACGTTCAGCTTAAATGGTGGGAATGTGCAGCCTAAAACCCGGGGTTAGTAACGTCAGTGGTCGTTACCTGCTGCTTCTGCGAGGGCACAGCCTGGTCCTCTGCTCGGGACACAGGGACTGTCACGCAACCCACACATATGGGGAGGTCATGGGGAGGACACGGTGGGCAGCGCTGGGTCAGGGGGGTGGCACAGCGAGCCCCTGGTCTGCGTCCGTCGCGCCGGCTCCAAGAAGGCTCCGCTGGAAACCCCTCCGGAGAGCCAGCGTCGCGGCCGGGCAGATGTGCGGGCGCGGCACGGGAGAGCTGCCGGCGCCTTTGGTCCCCCGAGCCGCCCGGGGTGCCCCACACGGCCGGTGCTGCCGCGCTGCTCTGCGGGCGTCCGGCCGCCCCAGCGCGGCTCCGGCCCCGGCGGCGGGGCTCGGCAGGACCCGCACGGCAGAGGCACGGTCGCGGCAGCACGGCCGCCACCGCCCCGACAGCGCCTCGGTGGCGACAGCGGGACCGGGCGGCCCGGGACGGGGCAGCGGCAGGCGACCCCACGGCCGGTCCCGTAGGGCTCGGGAGCCTCGGCCGCCCCCTCCCCCTGCAATTGAGCGAAATGGCTGAACATGTAGCAATAATGACCCGGCATTCAGGCTGCCCGGCCCGGCCGGCCCTAATCAGCGGCCCGCGGACCCCCCTCCTCTTCCCCTACGCTCCCAGAATGGGGAACAAAACCCAGCACGTTTCTGCAGCCCCCGTGCATAAAGCGCTGGGCCTGGGCCTCAGTGGGGGGCAAAGCGGCCCGTCAATCTCGGCGCCGGGGCCCCTTTGTCCCTCGCCTCCCTGCCACACCTTTTGTTCCCGAATCCAATAAGCGCCTATTCCCGCTACCTTCCTCGGCGGCTCCTTTCAGCGCCGGCCCGTCGGCCACAATGGGCCCGGCTCTGAGCTACGCGGCCCCATTCAGCGCCCTTGGCACGCTCACAAGCCGGCCGGGCCGCCCTGCCCCGCGGGCACGACGCGGCGACCGCCCCGCCGCCGGGCACGGGCCCCGGCCCCTCCGCTGGGCACCGGCCGCTGGACGAAGGAGGATCGGGCGGCGAGTATTGCACCTGGTTTATTGACTGACTGGGCGAGCTGGCGCTGGCAGTGACCGATACAGAGTAGATAGAGGGGCCGCGGCACTAGCGGGCCCCGCCGTCGGCTTTTTACAAGCAAAGCTGCTCCGCTGGCGCGGCGCGATCGGCTCCGGCCCGCCCGGCCGTCGCGGCGGCTCCGCGGGGCGGCGGCGCTTCGCTGCCACACATTATTCCAAAAGTGACACATTATTCCAAAGCTAGGAGTCTGGTTTGTCCGCTCCGTCCGTGGCCGGCTCCGCACCGACGCTCGCGGGAGCGCCGGGGTCCCGCCGCGCCGTCCCGCCGCCGCCTCCGCCTCCGCTCCAGGGCGCGTGGCGCGCAGCCGGGCTGCGGTGCGGGTGCTAACGGGGCCGTGGAGCCGCCGGGCCGTCCTGTCGGTCCGCTCCCGACCCTCAGTGCGTGCGGGCTACCAGGCCCGAATGCCCTGCAGTGCGCCCTGGCCGCAGGAAGGCCCCGCCGCCGGCTGGTGCAGCGGCTGGCCGCCGCCGCTGAAACCCCCGAGGCCGCCCACGTTCACGAAGGGGCTGGCGGCCGCCGCCGGGCTGCAGGCGGCTTGCATGGACGCGCCGCCGGTGCCCGCCGGGTAGGTGCAGCCGTAGCCGGGGTTGTAGGAGGCAGCGTTGCCGTAGCCGTAGGCGGGGAAGCCATTGTAGGAGTAGGGCCCGTTGTACGCAGAGCTGTAGCCCTGCGATCCGCCGAGGCACGGCTTGCCGTCACGGACCAGCACGGGCACGGCCACCCTGCGCGGCGGCGGCGGGGCCGCGGGGCCGCCCAGCTCCAGCGACTTGTCCTGCCGCTGCCGCTTGCACTTGTAGCGCCGGTTCTGGAACCAGATCTTCACCTGCGTGGAGGTGAGCTTGAGGCTGCTGGCCAGGTGCTCCCGCTCGGGCGCCGACAGGTAACGCTGCTGCTTGAACCGACGCTCCAGCTCGAAGACCTGCGCCTGGGAGAAGAGTACTCGCGGCTTCCTCCGGCTCCGCTGCTTCGGCCTCTCCGTCTCCTCCGCCTTCTCCGCTGCGTCCAGCGGCTTCTTCAAAACACAGCTCTCTGTATGGGGGAGCACAGGTCATGGGTGCGCCTCGCCGACACCGGGCGCTCGCTGCTCCCCACGGGCCCCACCGGCGGACGAGAGCTCCGCGCCCGGCCGACCCCGCGCCGCTACGCGCCCGTCGGGGCTCCGCGGTGCGGGAGGGGAGGGAGCGCTGGGACCGGCCGTCTCCGGCACCACCTGTGTTTGAGAGGGCCCGATTCGGGCGGCGGGGCCGGGCACGTTTCCGCACCTCCAGGCCGGCTGCGGCGTTACCGCTGCGGCACCGCGAGGAGAGCTCCGGGCCGCGTCGCGCACAGCGCCGGGCACCTGCTCCGCCACCGGGCCCCGCCGCAGCGGGTGCGGATTGGGCCTAACCCGACCCGTTCTTCCCCCTTCGCTACAGCAATTGCAGAGCCCGGGCCTGATCCGGCACCTCCGGACTGGGGCCATGCGGAGGCACTACCCAGGGAGGAGGCGAGCGAGGCGCGGAGGAGGGCGGTGGCAGCCCCGCGACGTGCCTGTCCCAGCTCGGCATGGCCAAGGGACGTGGGGCGGGCTACAGCGCCGGGACCTGGACTTCGCGGGGCGATGCCCGAGGGCTGGGAACGCACCGCGGGAAGCCAGCGCCTGGCCCGTACCGGCGGGGCAGTGCAGTGCGGGGAAGGCGGCGGAGCCGATACTCACTTGGGTCTCGGACCGCCGGGTCCAGCTCTTCTCCCGGGCCGGGAGCTTCGCAGGAGCTACGCAGCACGGCGTGAACGTAGTTGTCGGCAGAGATCCGCGCGTCCGCCTGGCTGCCGGGCGCTGCCATGGGGCTCAGGTACGAGAGCTTTTCCTCCTCCTCTTCCTCCTCGCCGTCGGAGAAGCGGGCGCCGTCGGCGGCCGCCAGCAGGCAGGCAGCGGGGTGGAAGTGGTGCTCCAGGTGGTGCGGGAGCTGGGCCCCATAGTGCGGGTCCTGCTGCTGCTCCAGGTTGAGGATGTCTTTGACAGAGAAGGGTGTGGAGGTGACGGGGCTCGGTAACATCATCGGGGCAGCGCAAGCGGCCAGGCAGTCCCGCGGGCCCGGCGGCGCTCGGGCGGCTGCTCGGCGGGGAGCGCCGCGCCCGGTGCTGGGGAAGCAGGCAGCGCCGAGAGACGAGGGGCCGCGCCTGCTTCTGTCTAAGTTGCCTCCATTAGCTCGGCGCTGGGGGTCTGCGTTTTGTTACAGCTTCTGCAGGGACAGCCAAAGGCTCGGGAGCCTCCTCTGCCCCGGGCCGGCACGTCACGGCAAGGAGGGGCCGGGGGCGGCCTCGCCATTGGAGAGAGGGGGAGGCAAAGCCGGCCCCCTGCCCGGCTCCGGCCGCCCGGCCAGAAATAGCAATGTATTAAGGCTGCACTCGGGGAGGCTGCTTCCCCGCAGAGCGCCCCGCCGTCCCGGCACCCGCCCGGCGGGCGCGGGGACGGTGCGCCGGGGTCGGGGCCCCGCAGAGAGCCGCGGCAGCCGCCGCCGCGCCCCCCAGTGCTAAGCACGTGTAGGTAGGTAGGGACCCCCGCCCGGGCGCGCCCCGTTGGCCCCTACCCGCACACAGCTCGGATCGGCCCCGGTAGGGGCTGACATGTGCGGCCCCGCCGGCCCGGCCTCCCCGCCCCACCAGCACGGCCCCGCAAGTGCCTCCCGCGGCCCAGGACGCGTAGCGGAGGGGAGGGGAGGTTCGCCTCCGCCACCCCGCACCGCTCTCGTAGCCGACGGCGACCCCGCCGTCCCGGACGGGCCCTAGCCATGCAGCGTACACGTAGCCGACCCACTCCGCATCCCCCTGCACCTCCGGTCCCTACGCCGGTGTGCCCGCAAATACCCCCGCGATCGGCCAATCTGCAGGCCGGCCCAGCTCGCCGCAGCCGGTGCGACACTCGTTCGCACCGGGGAAAGCACGCCTCGCCCCGCCGGATCGGGCCCCGCAGCCTGCGAGCGCCAGGCCCAGTCGGGGCGGACCGGGCCGGGCCGGGTGGGCAGCCCGGGACCGTGGTAACGCGGGGCTAGGTGGGGAGCGCGATACCGCGATCGTCGGTGTTTCCTTTCGTTGTTTTTCGTTTTCTTTCGTTTCGTTTCGTTTTCTTTCGTTTCTCCCGCCGGCAACGGGCAGCCAGCGGCTCCGCGGAGCCACCTCGCTGCCGTGCCGGCGGGTGACGCACGGAATGAGCCTGCCGAGCTCTTCCGCACTGAGAAGTCCCCGGGCACTGGACTTCGCCGGGCGCCGGCCGAGCCCCGCGGTGATGCGGGGGTGCCGCGGCCCCTCGGCGCTCCCCGCGGCTCCCGGACTTTTGCACGGGCTCCGGGCTGCCGCGGCGCGGGGAGCGGGCGAACCGAGGGAGGGACAGGGGGTCTTTGGTGAGATTTTTCGTTGTGATTAAAATCCTGCTGCCCCGCAGGGCTTGGATCGGCGACGAGGGGAGGCCACCGGAGCCGGGCGAGTACGCCGGGCAGGTGAGTGTCCCGGCGCCGGGGCTTCGCGGGGCCTTCCCGGGAGTTTCTCTCGCGTTGTTAACGTCCGGCGGCTCCACCGTTTAGCGGCTCTCTCGGTGCCCTCGTATCTTCGTCTTTCTTCTCGTCCCAGAGACGTATTTACTGGGGGCGCAGCCCAGGGCAGGAGCCCGAGTCCCGCGCACTTCGCCGCAGCTCATGTGCTGTCGGTGCCGCGGCAGGGCCGGTTCCCCTTCCCCCGGCGCACCGGACCACTGCTACCAAGCAGCTTCAAACCCCTCGCTATATAAATACGACGATTCGGTCTCTTCTCGCCGCTCCCTGTGGGAGACGCCTTCCTGCGGTCCGGACGGTGGACGGGGAAGGGCGGCCGCAGTAAGCAGGCCTGACCGGGGCCCGACTGCCCCGTGCCGCCGGTGCGCAGAGAAGCTCGGCACTGCGTCGCTGCCGGGACCCCGAAAATAATTAGTAACAATTATCTGCTTATCCGTGTTACACATCCGCCACCGTCCCGGGCCACTCCCGCCCGCCTCGGGGCTCCGGGCCCGGGAAGGTGAAGGCGCGGGGCCCGGTGGCAGCGCGGCGAGCGGCCGGGCTCTGCACAGCGCCGCGCTCCCCGGGAGCTCCACTGCAGCCGAGCTTCCCGGCGGGGAGAACAGCCTCAAGGGCCGGTGCCCTCGGTGGTGGCGGCCATCAGAACTGCTGGGCCACCACCGATGTTCGCCTGCCCGTCCGTCTGCAGGAGCAGCAGCCGCCGTGCCGAGGGCCGCGGCCGCACCCGGGCATGGTCTGGCTCGTTTGGCGCCATCGCGCTCAGCGATCCCGGACGGGCCGATCGCCGGGCGCGGCCTGCGGGCGCTGGGTAACGTGGGTCGGGCCGAAAAGGGCGCAACGGGACTTCTGCCCGCTGGTACGAGTAGTTTCCCGGCTGAGACCCACTCATTTGTGCTACTGCCGGCCACACGGACTGCTCGAGGAACCCACGCCCGACGGAGGGAGCAAGCCGCGGCCGGGCCTTCTCTGGGCCGCCTCACCCTCCGCTAGTCTCCCGGTGCGGTAACTGAGCCCGCGCTTTCCCCCCATGCCAGCGTGCCCTCTTTAGTGGAGGTGGATCGGTGGTGCGTTCCCGGCTGGGAAAGCCGGGGAAGCGGGGAGATGGTCGGGCCCGGCCGTGCCCGTACCGAGGCGGCTGGCACCGAGGAGCACGACCGGACCGGGGCGAGCGGTGCGAAGGTACAGGAAGGAGGGGGGCAGCCCTGGTACCTGCCGGCGGGTCTCAGCCCGGGTTGCGGCTGCAGGGCTTTCCCAAGCCGGCTGGGCTGGGGTCAGCGGGCTATTAATGGTTATTTTATTTATATCATTAGCGGCGTCCCCTGAGCTCTGTTTACAGCAGGGCCTTGTTGTCCCGGCCGCTCCTGCGCTCTGTTTAGACAGGGGATTATTGTAATGGATGAAGCTCGCCGTGCGGATGCTGCAGCGGAGCCAAGAGAGCCAAGAGCCTCCCCCCGGGCCCGGGGAGCGAGCAGCAGCCCCGCTGCGGCCGCGCACACCGCGGCGGGCGGGCGAGGGAGCGAGCAGCCCGCTCCCGCCCGAGGGCCACGGCCGCGGGCAGCCCGGTAGCAGCGGCCGCGGCCGGGGGTCTCGCTCGGGGCGATGCTATCAGCACCAGGGCTGCTAATTGCTCCATTAGTCTTGCGGATGCGGAGTGCTGGAGCCGGCCCCGCGCTAATGGCAGTAAACAAACAAACACGCTAATCCGGCCCTGTCTCCAGCCCCCGTGCTCGGGGAGCCAGCGGGGCACGGCGGCGGGGGGCGCTGGGCGGGCGGCACCCACCTGCCCGCCGCCCCAGGAGCCCGGCGGCCCGCGGGCTGGGCCCGTAGCCGGAGCGGATCCGCGCCGCCGGGAGCTGCCCCCCACGCCCGGCTCTATTTACACAGAGCCTGCCCTTGTGTAAACGCTGCGCGCCGTGGTTTATCTCAGGGCCCGTCTGGTTCTCGTTCTCTGTCAGCAGCGCCCGGTGAAGGATGGCCCTTTCCCAGGAGTTCGGTCCTGATTTATGTGAGAACCGCAGCGGGCCGGGGACGCCCCCGCACGGCGGGGCCGGCGACGCGACGCGGAGAGGCGGCGGATCTCGGGACAGCCACCCGCCGCCGGTGGGGCCGCGTTCCGTGCAGCCCGCACCGGCTCCGCACGGCTCGGTCACCTGCCGGCAGCGGACCCTGCGGCCCTGTCCTGTCCGGCACGGCACGGCACGGCACGGCACGGCGCTCCGCCGTCTCCCGGGTCCGGCTCTCTTCGCGCGCAGCCTCGGCGCCCCTCACGGTGCCCAGCGGGGCTCCGTGAGGAGCGCACACGGGATGGCTCCGCCGGCCGCTTCCAGCCCGGACTCACTCCCTGAATGCACCCACCTGGTCACGGCTCCCGGGGGAAAGGATGGCGTTTATCCCTGCCCTGCCACTTGTACAGGAATGGCTCTTTTTCACAACTCTGAAAATAAACATTGTCTGTATTCCTCAGGAGAGGAGAGGGCTTCTGCAGGCAGCGGAGCCAGGTCCAGGCAGGGGATGCAGCATGCTCACCCAGCAACATGCTGGCTCCATCTCCCACTGCTGTGTCCCATCTGTGCCTGCACCGTCCTTTCACTCTGCTCTGCCACTTGACACCTGCCTGCATCTCTCTGAATCCTCAGAACAGCTGGCTTGGTTTGGCCAAGAACCACCCAACTAATACCCATTTTCATGATAAATATATCAGTGCAAATACCTGCTTTACTTCAGTATTTTTTTGCTCCATTGACATTGGCTGATTTACTTTTGCTTCACAGTTCTTGCGGGGATGCACGGCTTGGAAATACATCCCAAAACAAAGCCTCAGTGGAAAATAAATGTGTTTTCTAAAGGTCAAAACCAGACTCTAGCATCCTACACATATGTTTTTAAGGTGGGAGGTTGGTTTGAGGGATACCAGTAGCTGTGTGAAACATTCAGTGTTCAGCACTTTGAGGGATAGGGGCAGCAAAAGCAAGGGTTGCCCGTTGCAGCAAGGGGAGCTCGATAGGCTTGGACACCAGCAAGGGGGAGGTTGCCCTTGATTTCAGTGCCAGATGGACCTCAGAAACTGAGGGTGACATGCTGCTGAGCTTGGTGAGAGCCAGCTTGCAGAAGCAGGTAAAGGTCATGCTTCATATAAGGCAGTGCAGGATAGGAAATGTCAGTGCCTACTTACTTTTATTTGGCATCTCTTGTGCACAAAGGATATCCAGGCTTCACAAAGCTACCCTGCTGCACAACACCGTCACAGTCCCATGACTGTGAACGTGCAGAGGGTAGCAAAACATCTCTTCCTCTGGATTGGAAACTGTCATAAATCACAGTTACTGACTGTGCGATGAGAGGGGTCCCCCGTGCAGCAGAAGGAGGACACTGCTGCAGGCACACGTACACCACCCTGTTGGTGGAGCACACCCCGCAGCCTTTCTGGGAGTACCTTTGCTCTGTGTCTCCGAAGCCATTGCTGTGTGTTTGTGTCCGTGAGGTTGAGAAGCTGAGCTGAAATTCATCCTTCAGCAGAGGCCCAGCACAAGGCTTGCTGATCGCTCACATCCACAGGCCTGCGTACCACTTGCATCCCATAGGGCTTAAGTGGAGCCTAAGTGGACCCTGGGCCTTGCGCTGGCGACCTGCCCAGTGCTGGATTTCAGCTCCGAGCCCAGGCCTGCCGCTCTGATTCATGCGCGTAATCCCGCTGAGGTCAGCGGGTTTCATCCTGCTCCCACCACAGCCCACGGGACAGTTCACACGAGAGTGGCAGGGTCAGGCTCTGTGTTTGCATGTGCCATAGAAAATGGAACAATTAAGATTAAACTAATTAAATTTTAACAGGTCTGGAAAGCGTTTTATTACATAATAAACTGGAGGGATTAACCGTGTCGAGCTTTGCTGCGTGTGTGCTGGCGAAGTGGTTCCTTGCTGTCCGCAGCACTTGGTGTTCCTCCGGGCTGGAGATCTCCCTCCGCTGGGGCTGGCTCGCCGGCAAACACAGGAGGCTGGGAATGCAGCTGCATGCTGCCTGCTGCTCCTGTCCACTGTCCCCCAAAGCATTCTGGGTGTAATGCTTTTCTTAGCCCAAGCAAAGCATTTTCTAGAAGAAATTTTGCAAATTACATGGTGGCTATTTCTGTGGCTTCCTTCAGGGAGAGGGAAGCCCTCATGCTTCTGTACAGGCATGCTGGTGAGGAGCAAGTGGCTGGGCTAGCTCTGTGCAAGGTGGTGACAGATGTCTCATCTTGGAAACGGAGCTGATAAGCTACTCTTGTTTAGGGCATCTGCCTGGCAGCCAGTCCCCACTTCTCTCCCTGCTTAATCAAGATTCCTCCGGCTGTTCCCATGCAGATGAAGCCATCCTGGCCATGGCTACGCTGGAGCTGGTAAAGCTGCGAAAGAAATGGTACACGGCTCTGGGTTTGCCAGAGTGGTTTCAGGGAAATTGAGCTGAAAAAGGATGCACAAACCAGCTTTGGCAGAAATTAGGCTGCAACCTTGGAGGAGCATACATAGGGTGGTGCACAGGCCTCTGTGTGGTGGCATTCCTCAACTCTGCTGGCATTTGTCTATGGGGCTGACATTTCCTCTGAGGGACACCCACAGCCAGTGACTGTTGCACTGCTTCATCTTCCCAAATGTGATTTGAGGCTGAGCAGCTTAGGAGGATTGGACACAAATATCCTCTGTCATGCAACAACCTGCACTTGGGGGCTTGGGGGGAAGATGAGGCTGGCGAAGCTCATAATTTCTGTCTCTTCTGGGTAAATATGGGTCAAAAGCCTGACAGGCTCAGCCCAAAGACATTTTGCACTATCCTTCCAGAGGCCACAGCAGGCCAGATTCCAATGCCCTGGTGGGTTTTCTCTGGAAGTAGAATGGTTGCTGTGGCTGAAGACTGCAGCATGTTCAGTGACAGTGAAGGCAAACTGCTCCCTGGCTGACTACATGCCTGGAAAGGTTAAAGGCAGAGCATGTGCTTGGCCTGCACATGTCTAATAAATACCCATTCTTTTGTTTTCCTTTGAAATACTTTTCATATTTAGCCATGGCTGCTCATGTGGTTCCCTCCTGAACCCAGATCCTCACCGACAGCCGCTGTGTAAATAGGGCAGCCCCTGTGTCCTGCACACGGGAAGGCAGGTAGGAGATTTGAAAGCTTCTGTTAATAGTTTATCTCTGAGTCTGCCTAATGAATTATCCTGGCAATTACTGTGCAGAAATTGTTAGTGTATCCTGATGATTCAGAACTTTCTAACAACAACTCTGGACCAAACTATAAACTGTTTTTCTATCTTGGAGTGGAGACTTGAGAGAGGACTCCTAATTGTTCTCATCCCCTCCGGGGCCATAGCTGGATTATCCCACACAGGCTTCTCTGCAAACTTGTTTTTAGTCTATCAGTGGGCCCTTTGCCAGACCAAAGAGATGGGGAACTGTTTTCCAGATTTAAATCCCTCCCCTCTACCCTTCCACTCCACTTACACCTCTGAGGAAGAGCATGGATTAGAAAGGATTTGCCCTCATGGGGCTTTGGTTTGGGTTTGTGAAGGTCTGTCCTTAAAAGCATTGCCTTTTTTGTTTTATCCCTATGTAAACCTGACTCCCAGCTTTACGCAGGGAACAGGCAGAAGTGAAGTGTGTGTTGTTCAGAGAGTAGAGATCTCCCATTTCTTTTGAAATACCTGCCTTTAAATGGCATTTCCTCTTGGAGACAATAGCTTAACATGAAGGACAAGCAGGTGGGGATGGGCAAGGGTGGTGTTCCAGGAGCAGGACATGGCTGGACCCCTCCTGCTGTGGTTGCTGTGCTTCAGCCATGCATACAAGAGGCGGGATGGCTCAAAAGGCTCAGCCAAAATATGTCCCTCTGCCAGCACTGACAAGACAACCGGGACCTCTTGATATGGTTCCTGCCTTGTCCCTGTGCTGTTGATGTCCCAGCACACTGGAGACCATGGGTATCCAAGCACGTGTGGGATGCTCTCCCCAGGACCCAACCTGGTGCTCTCCCCCAGGATCCATCCTGCCCTGTGAATGACCCGTGTAGCGATGCTGTGTCAGGCCAGCAGTTTGCAGGCACTGGGGCCATAGCAATGGTGGTGGGGAGTTCGCATGGGGCCAAAGTAATTCTTCTCTTCCCTCACCGGGGTGGCAAAAGGCCACACCACTGGCCATGCCCTGTCCCACTGGAAGCACTGACGCCTGTCTGGCTGCCAGGACACCCCGCCAGCCCCGTCCCAGGCACATTTCCTGCACCCGGCAGTGGCGAGTGGGCTCTGTGCCGCATCCCAGGGCCGCCTGGGCCCAGGCTCCCTTCTCCAAACATCCCTCCCACCGTGCACCCGTGGTACCCCCGCGGCTCACCCACGTCCGCCCCGCACACCCGCCCTTGCTGACGGTGGGGAAAGTAGGAGCCATGTCCTTGTGCTGACCTTCATCTGACCTTCCAGTAACGCTCGAGAAACCCTCGGAAAGGCTTTCTCATTGTGCAGCCCCAGGGTTTCCAGGGAATTAGTCAGCAGGCTGGAATTGTGCTCTGTGTATGTGACCCCCCCCCTTATCCCCCCCTCCTGCCTCTCCCATCCCTGGAGCCGGACCGGTCCAAGAGATATGTTGCCAGGGTGACAGCGAGGTGTGATGGATGGACAGAGAGTGGCTGTGGAGTGGCAGGGCCGCTGGTCAGTAACCCAGGGCTGTGTTTATAAGAAGGAAGAGGCTGTTTCCTGGAGCTAACATAATGCAGCTCTAAAAAAGGCAGGGGAAATACATCATGCGAGGGGAGCGCGGCCCGGGGAGGGGAGGGCCACGGGGAGCTCAGCACCACAGCGAGCCTCCAGGTCAAGGTGCCTTTGACAGGGGCCTTTTTTATAGGCCATTTGCGTGAGAGTTCGCTGCTGTTTCTCTGCAGCCCTGACAGCGGCTCAAGGCCCAGCCGGGGTTTGGGGAGGGTCTAATCTAAACTCGCCGATTTCCAGCCCTTCTCCTGCAGGACCCGCTGATTTATTTGGAAAATAAATAGTCGACACTGACTATTGTTTTGTGTCTGTGGAGTGACAGTCCCCCGCCCTCGGTGTGGGGCTGTGCCCCACCCCACAGTGGACACTGGGAGGAGCGGGGAGCTGTGGAAAGACCCTGTTGCTCAGAAAGAGAGGGGCTGAGCTCACTGCTTCCATCGGCCCCCACCTCACCGTGCCCGGGACAGGGCGATTCCTGGGGCCATGGTCCCTGCATGGGGCCGTCACCTGGGGCATCACTCACTGTGCTGGACTCAGAGCTGGGGCAGCGGTGACCCACTGGAAACGCAAGGGAATGTCCCACCCTCCTTCCCAAATGCCAGCTGTGGCAGTTTTGCTCCCTTTTTGCACACTGCAGGTGTGTGAGGCTCTTGTGCCCAGCACTGGCATCTCCCCCAGTCTGGAGCCAGGGTGTCTGCAGCCCCACACACCTCCTGCTGCCACAGCGGTGGGGTCATCCCCACGGCTCGTGTCACCTCTGAGCCCTGCAACCACGCTCCCCCTAATGTCAGCCCTTCTGCTGGACAGTCTG